AGAATAGATATAGACCATAGCTACATACGTGGGAAGTTGTCCACTGTTGTTTGAGAATTTTCATACCATTTTGGGCATTCTTGTTTTACACATGGGACGAGGACAGACATGTGCAAAATTGGTGTGATTCAGAGATTCTTATGTATCCGAATCTCAGGGTCACAATCAGGGGCAGACTGACAACTCATGGGGCCCCTGTGTCCTTGCCAAAACTCAAAAAAGCCTATGAAAAAGGTACCGGGGGCATCTCATGGGGCCCCCTACTGACCTCGGGCCCTCGGGCAGTGCTCGAGTTTCCAAATGGTCAGTCCGCCCCTGGTCACAATAGTAATGCATTTCAAATAATCCAAAATAAATTATAACGAAAAGATGAATTCATTAGTAATAATTTCTTTCATATGGATGACATGATGAGATAGTTTGGTGCTTTTGTTAATGTTTAAAGCATCCGAAATAACGTAACAACATTATGAATGATCCAAATTGATTCAAATCTATTCAATTTGATTCAAGAATAGCATGAATATTCTAATATATTCCTTTTATATTGGGGTTGAACTTAAGAGGCCATTCATTTCATTTGTTTGTGTGCAGCCCAACAAAGTCAGCTGGGAATGGGGAAATGAATTCACCTTAATAACATAATGAATGAATATATCTTAATTTATTATGTTGAAACTGGTACAGCCAATCTTCCAAAATAGCAAAGGTATAACAGAACTTCCGAAAATATGAATCGATTCGGAATGACGAATATACAGTATATTCTCCCAAAATAATGAATCGTTCTGATAACAATTTATTTAACATAATGATTATGATGCAATGAAATGATTTATTTAACAAATGAAAATGAGACGAAGCAAATTTTTCCGTTGTACACATCTCTAGAGAAGGACATGGAAAAATGTGAATGATCTGATTTTCTAATAGTGTGTACTAGGCTTTAGGATCTACAGTGACTATCATGCTTCTATGTGAATAGGGCAGCTTTGGTAGCCTACAAGCAAAACAGTTAGGCTTTGTTCACACCAATGTGTTTTTTAGTGCTTTTTGCAGAAACGCACTACAGTCCATTCAACATGGTTTCCTATGGAACATGTTCACATTTATGCTTTTTTGAGCTGCTGCATTTTTGGACAGGGTCAGGGACTTTTTTTTAAATCAAAAAGCAGCCTTTTTACTACAATACAGTTTAATGGAGAAGCTGCTGAAATGCATGGTAGTGCGTCTTTGCCACATTTTACATTTTGCATTTGTATTCTGCCCAGCATAAAAAAAAAAAATCCACTTTAACAAAAAAAATAGCTGAACAAAATTGCAAAATGCGGTAAAAACCCATCAAAAACACATAAAAAATGCATCAAAAGTGCATGTAGAAAAACACAAAACAAACTGTGGAAATCACTGCAAATGGACAAAAAGCAAACTGCACAGGTGTGAACTGAGCCTCAGTCCTCATGCACACTGGGCAATTTTTTCAGCTGCTGGTTTTGCCTTCTGGCATTTTTTTTCTACAGACAGTAAATTCCCCAGCATGTTATCCTATGTGTCCATGTAGACAAAGTCATCAGCGTTTTTTAGCAGGGGCATTTTCTGTCTTGAAAAAAACCCAGTTGTTGGTTTCAAGAGGAGTTTTTTAGCTTTAAAAACAGGGTAAATGCGGTAAACCAGTGTGTTTGAGGCAAAAAAAAATGTGCTAAAAAAACCACTAACGTGGCAAAACGCTAATGCAATAATGCTAAAAAAAGCAGAAAAACTTGCGTTTTTAACATGACTTTCTGCAGCTAACACAACCAGAGTTTATAAAATGCCCAGTGTGCATGAGGCCTTATGGTTAACTGCTGAAATCCGTACAGGGGATGACAGATGTTTTAAGCCAGGGGTCTCCAAACTTTCTCAGCAAAGGGTCAGTTTACTGTCCTTCAGGGGGGCTGGACTGAAAAATGCCCCAGCATCAGTGGGAGTAAACAATGCTCCATCTTTGGTGCTAGTGGGAGGAATTGTGCCCCGTTGGTGTGTCCTATGGAGAAATTCTGCCCCATCATTGGTGTCATTGGGCTCCATTCTTGTTGTCATTGGGATGAACTGTGCCCCATTGTTGGTGTCAGTGGTGGGAATTGTGCTCCATCATTGATATCATTGGGAGGAATTTGTTGGTGTCAGTGGATTTAATAGTGCCCCAAGGGCTAGATAAAGGGAAGCAAAGGGCCGCATCTGGCCCCAGGCCACAGTTTGGAGACCACTGCTTTAAGCGTATAATATTTGAAGTTATAGGAATCACAAACTAGGAGGGAACAATGCATTCAGCATGTCAGCACAAGTTTCTAGACAGAGAGGAGGTGATCCCAAGCAGGGTGGTGGGGGAGGGTTGTAACCTTTTTTTTTCCAGGCTGTGTGGGGGATGCTGCTTTTACTCTTTATAATGGATAGACTGTTTGGATGCTGCATTAGCAATGCTTACAGTCCTATACACATCAAGAGAGCTCATCAGTGCTGGCAGCTATTCTGTCACTGATAGTATTCTGACACTGATACTGCGGCAATACAAGTTAGTCCCTAAAAAGTTTTCTTTTCTTACTAAAAAGCATTTTTTTTTTTCAAAAACCTTTTGTTGTACAATATATTGTCTATTTATTTGTTTATTACACGTATTTATATTTACACAATTTATTTGTTTAAATATATATACAGAAGTATTTGAACACCCTGCGATTTTGCAAGTTCTCCCACTTAGAAATCATGGAGGGGTCTGAAATTCACATTGTAGATGCATTCCCACTCTGAGAGACAGAATTAAAAAAAAAATCAGGAAATCACATTGTTTGATTTTTAAAGAATTTATTTGTCTTGCACTGCTGAACATAAGTATTTGAACACCTAAGAAACAGCAAGAATTCTGGCTCTCAAAGACCTGTTACTGTGCCTTCAAAAAGTCCACCTCTACTCCACTCATTAATTTAACTTAGTAGCACCTGTCTGAGCTCTTTAAAGACACCTGTCCACCCCACAGTCAGTCAGACGCCAACTACTACCATGGGCAAGACCAAAGAGCTGTCAAAAGACACCAGAGACAAAATTGTGGACCTCCACAAGGCTGGAAAGGGCTACGGGGCAATTGCCAAGCAGCTTGGTGAAAATAGATCAACTGTTGGAGCAATTGTTAGAAAATGGAAGAGGCTAAAGACGACTGTCATTCTCCCTCGGACTGGGGCTCCATGCAAGATCTCACCTCATGGGGTATCACTGATGATAAGAAAGGTGAGGAATCAGCCCAGAACTACAAGGGAGGAGCTGGTCAATGACATGAAGAGAGCTGGGACCACAGTTTCAAAGGTCACTGTCGGTAGAACACTACACCGTCATGGTTTCAAATCATGCATTGCACGGAAGGTTCCCCTGCTCAAGTCATCACATGCCCAGGCCCTTCTGAAGTTTGCCAATGACCATCTGGATGATCCAGAGGAGGCATGGGAGAAAGTCATGTGGTCAGATGAGACCAAAGTAGAACTTTTTGGTCTAAACTTCACTCGTTGTGTTTGGAGGAAAAAGGATGAGTTGCATCCCAAGAACACCATCCCTACTGTGAAGCATGGGGGTGGTAACATCATGCTGTGGGGGTGCTTTTCTGTGAAGGGGACAGGATGACTGCACTGTATTAAGGAGAGGATGAATGGGGCTATTTATTGTGAGATTTTGAGCAACAACCTCCTTCCCTCAGTCAGAGCATTGAAGATGGGTCGTGGCTGGGTCTTCCAACATGACAACGACCCGCAGCACACAGCCAGGATAACCAAGGAGTGGCTCCGTAAGAAGCATATCAAGGTTCTGGAGTGGCCTGGCCAGTCTCCAGACCTAAATCCAATAGAACATCTTTGGAGGGAGCTGAAACTCCGTGTTGCACAGCGACAGCCCCGAAACCTGACAGATCTAGAGGAGATCTGTGTGAAGCAGTGGGCCAAAATCCCTGTTGCAGTGTGTGCAAACCTGGTCAAGAACTACAGGAAATGTTTGACCTCGATAATTGCAAACAAAGGCTTCTGTACCAAATATTAACACTGATTTTTTCAGGTGTTCAAATACTTATGTTCAGCAGTGCAAGACAAATACATTCTTTAAAAATCATACAATGTGATTTCCTGATTTTTTTTTTAAATTCTGTCTCTCAGAGTGGGAAGGCACCTACAATGTGAATTTCAGACCCCTCCATGATTTCTAGGTGGGAGAACTTGCAAAATCGCAGGGTGTTCAAATACTTCTGTTCCTCACTGTATAAAGTACATATTCAGTGTATTGTACATTCACATCAGTCCTTGCTGCAAGGAGCTTACAATCTAAAGTTCCTAACTCCCATTCATACATACACAGTATACATACTTGGCACAATTTAGACAGGAGCCGTATGACCTACCAGCGTGTCTTTTGTAATCTTTACTTGAAAAGAAAGGAGCGTGAAATGGTTTCCAAATTTCTTACAGCTATGTGATAAAGATGTGTATATGATAAAGCCCAACTGAAATTCCTGTTTAACCACTTGCCCTCCTGAGGATTTACCCCCCTTCCTGACCAGGCCATTTTTTGTGTTACGACGCAGCATTAATTTAACTGACAATTACGCGGACATGCAACGCTGCACCCAAATTAAATCTATGTCCTTTTTTTCCCCCACAAATGGAGCTTTCTTTTGGTAGTACATGATTGTTTCTGCATTTTTTTTTTGTGTTATGTAAAAAAGAAAAGACCGACCGACAATTTTGAGAAAAAAAAACAATATTTGTGACTTTTTTGCTATTAAACATATCCAGTAAAAAAATTTAAAAAATAAAATTTTGTCATAACTTTAGGCCAAAATGTATTCTGCTACATGTCTTTGCTAAAAAAAAATCCAAATACGTGTAAATTAATTGGTTTACGTTACAGTTAAAGCGCTTACACATGGTGGAATATATACTGGGCTTTTTAAAAAAAATATTTTTACTAGTAATGCTGCGATCAGTGACTTATAGTGGGACTGCGGTGGGCATTCTGACACTGGGGGGGAACTGACTTGATGTCCCTGACATCCCCAGTGACACCAATACAGTGATCAGTGCTAAAAAAAAGCACTGACACTGTACTAATGGCACTGGGCAGGAAGAGGTTAACATGAGGGGTGATCAAAGGGTTAACTGTGTTCTTTGTGCTGTTTTACACTGTGCTTTGTCCATGTGCTTCACTGTAATCACACTGCTTTGCATGGCTGTGCTGTGCACAGCCATGCAAAGCAGTGTGCACAAGCAGACAGGGAGGAGAACTGTTTTGTTTACCAACAGTTCACCTCCTTGTTGGAGATCCTCGGAAAAAATCACCAGGTGCCTGCGAGTAATCACCAGTGACTGACAGCCACAGCCGCGAATGGTGGTGAGTATAGTATGCTCCCTACCCGGAAATGCAAAATTATGTATATATACGTGATTTTGCGCACCGTGCCGCCCTGTAGCGGTTAAAGTGATACAAAACAGTATCCCTATTCTCTAAAAATAATCTCTACACATCCACTGCTTAATGACCCTGTCGTTTTTTTTCATAAAATAGTTTTTTTTACTCTATTTTTTTTTTTCGCCTCCTAGTTTTGTCCTCTGTGAATTGCTAGTCCTCTCCTTCTCCGTCTAACTTCAATTTGTTTGGAAAGACCAGTGTACATTAGTTGTACATTAGTTGTACATCAGTTGCGATCACGTTCACTGCTCCATGCACACTACAGATCACATAGTCTAAAGCGCCTAGTCCAGGGGTAGGCAACCCTAAAGAGGTGGAGATCTACCTGAACAACATAGGAGAAGTCAAAGATCACTGGGCACAGTGTCTCTTGCTCACACCTGATTTAAACCTCTAATTACCGTACTACCATGTCACAATCATGTGCATTGCACGGCAATCATGGGTTTAACCACCTCCCGTCTGGCCGTTGTATATAAACGGCCGGACGGTGGCACTGCAGGGTCGGGTGGCCATTTATAAACGGCCATCCCGCACCCTGCTTGTGCGCACTCCCTGAGAGCGCTCAGCACCGTGATCAGTTGCCCGCTGTATCCTCCGGACACAGTGAAATACCGATCGTTGGACAGGACCTCTGTACGAGGTCCCGATCATGTGATCACTGATTGGCCAATCAGTGATCACATGCAAAGTAGTAAGCAAGATGTCACTTGTGACATCATTGCTTACAAAGTGTGAAATCTGTGAATAATCACAGAGGTCACATGGTACAAGGCTATTCACAACCGCCTTGTACCATGTGACAAGCTGTGACCAATCACAGCTCACTCAGTAGTTCTCAATGGCTGCAAGACTGCAGACAGAGAGAAAGAGAAATGATTGCTTTTACATCCTATATGGGTGTAAAAGCAATCAGTGTTTTTTAAAAAAAAATCTTCATCACCCCCACACAAGTAGTACAGTGTCACCATGGTGACACTGTACTGCTAGGATGACAGTATGTAAAAAAAAACAAAACATAAATAATAATATAAAAAAAAACTAAAAATGTAAAAAAAATATCTAAAAATTATCATCTTGGTTATAAACTAATTTGGCATTTTTTTTTTTTTTACTAAAAAGATAATGGAATACATTTTGGCCAAGATTTATGATGAAATTATTTATTTGCAAAATTTATAAGAAAAACACTTTTTTTCAAAATTTTTGGACTTTTTCATTTACATAGCAAAAAAAATAAAAATCCCAGCGGTGAATAAATACCACCAAAATAAAGCTTTATCTGTCTCAAAAAAATGGTCAAAAACTTATATGGGTACAGTGTTGCATGACTGCGCAGTTGTCATTCAAAATGTGATAGCGCTGAAAGCTGAAAATTGCCCTGGACAGGAAGGGGGTGAAAGTGTCCGGACTGGAAGTGGTTAAATCAGGTGGTGAGGAGGCAACATACCACCTCCTCACTATTTGTCAAACGTACTGGGATCGCTTTGCAGAGGAGCAGCAGTGCCTACTGCACCTGTGAATGAGCCCTTAGTTGTAATCGGCAGCAGCACCCTAACGGCTTGTTCACATGTAAAGTTAGCGGGCAGTAAATCCCTGCAGTTGCATCATGCTTTAACCGCCCCCCAATCCCTACCCCCTTTAGGTGTACACATGCCGCACCAGGAATTACACCCTGTTGCTTTTGGTGGGTGGGTGCTACCACCTGTCAACCAAGACCCATTCATTTAAAAGGGCCACTCTACAAGTGCCGTCCAACTGCATGCTTCTGCAGGGTCCAGGGGGTTAAAGCAGGCGGTGAGAAAGCAACACACCGCTGCCTGTTTGCTGTACTGCACAAGGTTGCAGGGCAATTGCAGAGCAACCTCATTCACTTGCATGGGTCATGCTTGGCTGGTGCTGCACCCACCAACCATGACAGGGCATAGGAGCCAGCACTATAGGGGAGGCATCGGCTTATGCGGCTCTTGCTCCCTACTACAGCTCCAGTTTTACAAGTAGTCCCTTTGAATTGCACTCTGAAGCTCTGGGGTGGAGGGTAAGCAGCCCAGACTGAGATCTACCTGGCCAAGCTCTACTGGTTGCTGACCCCCGTCCTAGTCCATCTTGGGAGAAAGCAAGAGAGGATGGTTATGTTCCTACAATGGAGCCATGGAGAAAGAATGTAACCATCCTCTAACAGCAAGTTGGATCACAGTAGCAAAAACAAAAAAGTGAATTTGGAGAGTTGGAGAAGGCCAAGGGCAAATGGAGGGGCTTCTTAAAGTTACGAATACATTCTTAGGCTTGGTTCACACCTATATAGTTTGCTTTTGATCCATTTTATAATGCTCTTTGCATTATGCTTTGTGTTTTTACACGTGTATTTTTGCCATGTTTTTACATTTTGCATTTTTTTCAGCTTTTTTTTTCAAAGTGGAATTATTCTTGGTACTGGGCAGAAAAAAAACACAAAAAATACAGTGAAAACACGGCAAAAACACACTACATGAGTTTCAGCAGCTTCTCCATTGAACTCTATTGTATCAAAAACGCTGCTTTTTGCGTTTTAAACAGTCCCTGACCCTTTCCAATAATGCAGCAGCTCAAAAAAGCATAGACGTGAACATGTCCCATAGGAAACCATGTTAAATGAACTGTAGTGTGTTTCTGTAAAAAGCAAAAAATGCTAAAAAACGCATTGGTTTGAACCAGTCCTCAAGCTGGCCAAAAATGGATCAAAAATTGGCTGGTTTAGCAAGGACTGGACGAATTTCGATTCATCTATGGCCATTGCAGCTCAGGAGAAGTTGATCTCATGATTGGTTTCTCTTAAATGGGAATATTCAGTGCTGATTAGTTTATTCTGACAGAGGAGTTCCTGCTGTCAGAACACTATAGCACAGCTGCTTATGTGGATGGGGGGATCTGGTTTTCTTTGTTCAGTTCATAGATCAAAAGAGTCTTTTAAACCAGAGTTTAGTGTCACTTTAAATCAGTTACATTCCAGGTACAGCAAAACAAAAGGTTTCCTCTTCTTACATGTCATATTTTTTGGAAAGCAGCCACAACGTGAGTGGAAAATCCTGTGGTCTGCCAGCATGCTGCAGAGAAGGACCCTTGTTCTTTGTGTGGAAGCAGAGGTATCTCTGCAGAGGTCCAACATGCCCTCTGCTTAGTCAGACCTCAAGCACTGCAATCAGAAAAGCTCATGGTCCCTGCTGATTGGAGAGCTCTAGCAGGGCACGTATCAGACTTCTGCAGGTTTTTCTTACCCATTCAAGAGATTTCCCTTTATCTCCTGCTCTGTAGAAGAACAGGAAATCAGGAAAAGTCAGAGGAAATGTCTACAAAGTAAGGGAAATGTGCTCATAGATAGTCATTGCTGTAGCAAGTGTCCCTTTATTCCCTTTAAGGCTAGGTTCACACCAATGCAGGTTGCGTTTGAGCTGTTTCTGCATTGCGTTTTGCGTTTTTTATGCGTTTTGCTTTTTTTTTTTTTTTTTCATTTTTCTTGTTGCTAGGCAGATTTAAACACAGCAAAAATGCAATAAATGCTTTTCTGCAGCATTTACATTGTAGGCTATAGAACCAAAAACGCTACTTTTTGCATTCAAAATAGTCCTTGACCCTTTCCAAAAAACGCACTGGGTGAAAACGCACAGATGTGAACATGTCCCATAGGAAATCAGGTTAAATGGACTGTACTGCATTTCTGCAAAATGCTGCAGAAAATTCTTAGGTGTGAACCGAGGGTAAATCCTGTTCTAGAGACAACTCAAAATGTTGGGCTATCTCTCACTTTCAGTCTTGATAACAGTGACCACCAGGACAAAAATCTCCATAACGGGGACACAAACGGAGGTTCTAAATCTATCCAAAGCTATAAAAGTTTTGGCTTTAAATACACTTTAACCCCTTGGTGCCGACTCCTGGCATCACAAACCCCTTAAAGGGCCAGGAGGCGGGGTTTTTAGGGGAACGTGACTGCTGTGACAGCGATCACATGATCAGAAAGCTCCCAATCGCAAATAGTGATCAGGCCCTTCCCGTGAGACACTGGTAAATGTGCGCACTCTTGGACATGGACTCTTGGCACCAAGGAGTTGAATCTGCCATTTGTCATGTCTTTTTTTATTCATTCTGTATTTGTTGCAGTCTGTGTTCTGATCTGTGCACCGGACTCACGGATTTACACTTTTGGATATGCTTTGAGATCTGTGTGGCTGGCTGCCTATCATTGATTTCAATAGGCTGCCTGCATGCAGCTACACAAAACATTCATGAATCCTGCACAGAAGAAGGAGGCTCTTCACACAGGTATGCAAATCAGTATGAATGAATGTGTGAATGAGAACTTAGCAAGGGGTGTGTCAGACCTCTGCAGAGAGACCACTGCTTCCACACAGACAGCAAGGGCTCTTCTTTTAGAGAATGCTGGCAGAGGCGGATTTCTCTACTCAGGCTGTGGCTGCTTTTCTAAAGGAAACAAAGAGGTATACAGAAATGTGTCTGAAAATACGAGGTGAAAGAGTCCAATATCCTAGATTGTAAGCTCCAAGGAGCAGGGCCCTCCTATCCCTCTTGTATTGAACTGTATTGTTGCTGTATTGTCTCCCGTTATATTGTAAAGCGCAGAGCAGACTGTTGGTGCTATATAAATACTGTATAATAATAATAATAATAATATGCTTTTAACTGTTTGTAATTTGGTTACATCAATACAATCAATGTGTTTTGGGGGCAAAACATTCCCTCTTCATCCAGGTTTAAGAAAATGGAATGAGGATTTGAATGGAAAAGACAAACTAAAGGAATCTATATTCAAGTCTAATATAATACTTTTCTTCCTACGTTATAGGCACAGTGGCCTAACTGTTATTGATGACAGTGAATACAGTATATACAGTAAGAAGCAGGGACTGGCTGAATTTTGATGAGTACACGGGCTTCCCCTCTTGCCACAGGTCGATTATTTAAACC